GAATACTTTGAAACGAACAAGTCCGCCAAGCAGAGTAATGAAACAATTTTGCCCGGTCGTGTAAAACTTTGCAACACGGGTTTCCACCACTGTTGCAATCCTGCAAGCAGATCCTCAAAATAATGATGAAGGAACCCTAAACCCTAAATCGCGGCTAAGAAAGGCCTTCTTTGAAGGCGCTGGAGCTAGTGTCTAAACCCTCCGAGAGGGCACAGGTTCGATTCCTCCCATGTCGAAACTTTGTGAGGACAAACGCGGCATAGCTGACCGGCTCAGCGCCAATCCAAGCCAATTCCTTCGGGAACGCCTAATAGAATCGCCAAGGCTTCGGCACAGGCCTCCCCGGGACCCATTCACTACTAGTGGGAGGTACTGCACTTGGCGCGTCGGGCAGATCAAATAATGGTCTAAAGCTAGACGTTAAAACCGGGAAGTGAAGCTTGTGGAGGCTCTTCCCCACCTTTACCTTTTACCTTGGGTGGTCATGCTCGTTTTATGGCATGACTCACGGGTCCCTCCACTTGATGAGACAGTGAGAACGAATATGCTTGCATTTGCAAGTCGATCACGGGAATGGCCACCCCGTCCTCCGACAACCCATTTGTCAAGAGATTTGCGGCGGTTAGCAAGGCTGCTGCGGTAGGCAGTTCATCGGTGTCGCTCTGAAAAATGATGTCACTGGGCTGGATATCGAGCTTGTCTGCCACTTGGTGGAATGACAGCTGCAACACACCGAAGGAAATGAGTTGCAACTACGTGTGGCAACTGGCGTGGATCCACTCCGGAGCTGACATGGCGCACCCTGCTCAGAAACTCTCGATGCCACGCCGCATCCTCCACTTCAGGGTCTGTCAAATCTTGCTCAATCACAATGTGCACTATCTTGCCGGCAAATGACGCAAACCGGCGACACAAAGCATCTTGGAAGTGCAGTGGTTTGGGGTGCCCCCGGAAGGTGAATGGAGCCTCTATGATGACAAACATGTCTGCAAGCAGTAACACGTGGTGAGTGATGCTTGCAGCGCCGGACTAGGGCTGCTTTGCTTTTACCCACGACATCATATGTCTCCTGGAAACGGGCATATAGCAGGTCCTCCTCGTTGTTGTATATCAAAAGGGAGACCAACTACATAATGCATGGAGTATTAGTTGCCGCCAGCATCCCCAACATGAGCCGCCCCGTGAGCAGCTCGCCCACCTTGACGTCTTTGGAGTTTTGGTGATATGTGTTCGTGTTGCTCGCATTCCCACATGATGTGTTAGTAGTGACATATGTAGTGTTACCGGCAATAGAAACAGTGGTGTATGCACCATCAGTGTGCTTTGCTCGTTCAGCAATCCCAGCACACGTGCCAAATGGGTTGGAGAAGAGAGGGGCTGCAACGACAACAACGATGACTAGAACGAGTGTAGGAAACACTCCCCTTCTCCTGGGAACCATAATATTTCGCTTTGACAACTGAGCAGGCAGGCAACCAACAAACAAAGGTGCCCAGCCTTGCACACATTGGCAACATATATTTAATCCGCCCGTCCGTTTGGCACAAGAAAGAAGTTGGAGTAGAGAGCTCCCATGTCGAAACTTTGTGAGGACAAACGCGGCATAGCTGACCGGCTCAGCGCCAATCCAAGCCAATTCCTTTGGGAACGCCTAGTAGAATCGCCAAGGCTTCGGCACAGGCCTCCCCGGGACCCATTCACTACTAGTGGGGGGTACTGCTTGCTTGTGTGGGCTTAAAGTCTGGTAAAGCAAGAACTAGCTTGCAACATAGACTCCCCGCCGAAACGGGACGGGAACCGGGCGAAAGCAGAGAAAGCAATAAAACAGGGGTGGAGCAAGGCGACATGCAACGCAAGCAGCTGACAGGGCACGCATCGAAACGTGTGTATGACTGGCAAAGTGGCATGGCGCATTGGGGAGAAACGCAACGGTACGGGAGCATGGGCTGGCCAAACGGCAGTGCGGAACGCTAGGTCACTAGAAAAGCAGGGAAAGGCGCACTATGTATGCAATGAGGGCAGCCCCGGCTCGGGGCCGTTGAGAAAGCAGT